CTTCTTCAGAAGACGCCAAGAATGAGACGCACGGCGTGTTGAACCAAAACCCACTCAGGCTGGGAACACGTGCAATGAGGCATGCGCTGCTAAAACTGCTGCCGTTCAACTCTCTTCAGGCATGCGTAGACGCATGCGTTACGTGCGCTATTGCTTGCGCTATAACGCATGCCATTGACGAACGTAAAAGCGCACGAGTGTAGACATAGCTAAAGGAATGTAGGTATTGCATCATTATACCACAACAAGGAACTGCGTTACGTAGTTCGTCTTCTTACGTTACTTTCTCTGGCCGGTAGAATGCGACACTGACGTCTCTGACCCAGAACAGCAGTGTTGCGTTACCTGACTTGAGCTACAATTCAGCTTGCACATGACCATACAGACCAAAATCACACTTTACCTCTCTCATCATTCAATCGGTACGTACAATTTCTGGGTCATTAACCTGGGATTGTGGTGCACACCTCGAACGGAAATAAGAGCCTGTTCTGTTACCTAACGGAGGCTCTGCTTTGACATTATTCCCGAACATATATTTATTTGGAAGTTCCAATTTTTATATGAAGTAACGTGTATCGTGTAATATTTGCCTTTCTTCGGATGTGTAATAAAACACATTTTGAAAAAAAACATATTTTGTTCATTTGAGGAAGCTTTGATCATGCTCAGATTTTGAAGGCTAGTTTAAGATTTTGGTACCCTGACCAGAACTGTTAGTGGTGAGAAATTAAAAAAAGTATTTGTGCAAGTACATGACATTACCTTATAGACAACATTAAAATGAAAGGACAATAACATTAAATCTTTTGTTGTGAATTTGGAGAATTAAAGGTGAAACACGTTTGTTCTGATGTTATTCACATACTGTTGGAAAGCCAGAATTGTGTTTACAAAAGCAAAGTAATTAAAAAATTAGAAGCTTCTTTCAGTTATCTCACTGAAGTATTGCTTTTGGATAACATTTGTGAGCACTTTTGTGCCCTTCTGTGTAGGTTACGAAGCAGAAAGAAACTCCAGAATAAAGGAATGAACTATTGTTGAGAAAACGTTTTCTCCCAGCTCTTTCAAGCACATGATATAGACTGATTTTTGCTAGCTTAATGTGCTCACCTGTTCCAAAGTATTGTGTGACAGAAAATTTCAATGTAAGATTTGAGGTTATCACAGCGGTGAGTATGAAGATTTCTGTCTTCTGGGTTGTTGCACTGTGTAGTCTGGTAGATTTATCGCCCTGATGACGAAGGCAGTATGACCTCTGAAACGTTGGTAAATTTCTACCAGACTACACAGCACAACAACCCAGAAGACAGAAACTCACCTCTGTGAAAACTTCAAATCTTACAGAGTTACGAAGTATTGCATGTCTGAAATGAAGTCTACTGATGTAGTATCTCATATCTGCTGCAAATAATAATAGTGAGAAAAGATAAAAAAATTTAAATCTGAAGTTAAACAGATTACACCATAATTAAATTTTTGTCTATAATTCTCATTTGGAAAATAAAATTGAAACAATACAAAAACATCATTTTCAGTGTGAATAGTATATTGATAAATGACATAATTATCTACAGCTATCCTTTTTTTATAAACAAATAGACACTAGAGAGAGGTTTTGCCAGTTTTTTTAAGTGTGCAAATGGCTAAATTTTAATAAATATATGCCTTTAATGTGCCTCTTAAGAGATGATTTTCTATGTTGCCTGCATTAAACAATGATTAGCTCACAGAGATAGTGTTTGTAAGTGTGAGTTGTCTTGTAGTTATGACTTTACACAGCTAATATGTAGCATTCAATGACAAATTATTAGGGTGTGTCATACTAGTATTTATTGAAAAGTATATTGAACAATGGGCAAACTTTGTATTTCTCCACATACATGATCACTGGAGCTATGAGGCATTTGTCCCAGTACTACACAACCTGAAAACTTTTAATACAGAAGAAATTAAGGCTTAGTGTTAGCGATCACTGGCACATCTCAGCTCTCCCTTTATCATCACATTGGAAGTGCTTTCCATTCAAGGCGATTCTTTACTGGTGTATTGAAGTGGTAGTTACAGGATGCAAGGTCTGGGCTGTATGGTGGAAGGGTAAGACATAGAACTACTCCAGGTGCTGTGGTTTGAAGCGGGCTGTTAACGGATAGGAAATGTCATGGATACAGTTCAGTTCTTCTGAGAGGAAGGTACAGCATTTCCTCTGGATGGCTTCTTTCAGGTACTCCACTGTTGTGCATCAGTAGTTTGCATTTATGTTGCTGCATGATATTTTATATCATAGAGGAGACTTCTGTGTTGCTCAAAATGCCAGCAGCATCTTCATCCTTGTCCAGAATTCCTTGATTGCAGCTTCGCTGGTGATGAAAAGTGGGTTCATCACTTCATCCCATTATTGAAGGGAACGATAATGGAGTGGCAACACACCGCATCCCCACAAATAATGTTCAAGACCTTGTAGTCTGCAGGAAATGTGTGGGGATGTATAAATCATTCTTATTTTTCAGCTTCTGGACCATGGGGTAACAGTGAATACAGACCACTACTCCATAACTCTGTGGTACCTGAAGGAAGTTATCCAGGTGTAATACCTTATCTTGCTCAGAAAGAAAGTGATTCTTCTTAATGACAATGCCAGTCATGATTCAATCATTGTTACACCACACTCCAGGAAGTTTTTATCTGTAAATGTCAGCCCTTGTGCCTGGGAATCATATTTTCAGATATTTCCATCTCTTTGGACCAATAAAGAAACACTTTGAAAGAAAACACTTCTAATGTGACAAAGAAGTGAAAAGTGGGGTGTGTTGGTGGATGCAGATGTTGAGCTGTGATGCATTTTCTGCAGGAATAGAATAGGCAGTATATTCTAAAAAATACCTAACTTGCTTCAGCAATTATGTGGAGGAGAAGGGTTTGTCCATTCTTCCTTTTTGTTGTGCATGTTTCTAACAAAGTGATAAATGTGAATGAAATGCTCCCTTGAAAGTTACAGTCTAACCCTGTTAGAGTAAAACATTTTCCACCACCAATTTCAATGTTAAAGCAAGGATGGCAGTAAATTGAATTTTTTTGAGGAGGGGGGGGGGCTTATTTTTAATTAAACATGTATTAAAGTGTTATATGGTGTGAAAAATGCTGTAATTAGTGTCATTTATACCAGTAACAATACATTTCCCTTCCCAAGATGCTATAGGTGGTTTCTTACCTGGAATAGGTTGTATTTGTTCATGTGGAAGTTATTGATTTTATAGTATTTTTTAAACTGAACATGTCATATTGAATATTGTATCAGGGTTTGACTGTATTTATTAAACAGCTGTTGAACAATCATATTAACTTCGTCATGAAGAGGCTGTGCGGCCACAAAATAATTTATGGACTAACAGTATAGAAGTCAAGCAGTAATTTTTTTCTCTATTTATTAAAGGTAATTGTGTTGACTATCATTTTAAATAATATGTGGTAAGCCTTTTAAACACCTGAGCTGTGATACTTCAAAAGCAGTTCACCAAAACCTTGATAATATAATAAATGACAAAGTTATATACAAAGTAAGTATTTGTGACTTTTGTTTCACTCTTTACATTTTGCATTATTTTTTCTTTGTTGTAACTTACAAATTGCAGCTTTTGCAATATACAGTTATGATATAATCAATGACTTATGTATGTTTCATTAATATGTCCATTAATATTTCAGAATTATTTTTACATGTTTCCCAATACATCATTATATGAACTGCATGCATGGGTTTATTTAAGCATATTGGTTTAATATTATGAAACTTGTGAATTTCTTGTAATACACTAAAGCTGGTCTTTAGATGCGTGGTGTATATATATATATATATATATATATATATGTGTGTGTGTGTGTGTGTGTGTGAAACACTGGATATAGCGTGATGTCTGGCATGCATGCAAAGTTCTTCATTATGAATAATATTTACATGTAATCATCACAATCAGCATAATGTAATATTTTTCTTCCGCATGTAAACATGTTTAAATGTGTGATTATAAGTATGTGAGATTTATCATCTTCATCAATCATATTACCGTTGTTTGTAAACAGCTTTTGCAAGTGGGAAAAATTGTAAACTTAAGAATTTCTTTTATAAACTGTACCGATCTATAAATAGCAAATAGTGTACATTATATTTGTGATTTTAATGTGATATGTATTCTTATATCTACAAAATGTGATTGATGGTGAACCTGCTGGTCCAGAATTCTGCTATAATCTTGAATATTAAATGTATTGTAATTGCAACAAGTGTAGCAATTTCCTTTGAGGTGATTACTTCATAAAGATATGGCTATATTGTACAATAAATGTTATTGATACACTACGCAGAGTTTAATTACTAAAATCTTGCACATTAAATATTAATGTGTTGTTTTAATTATAGGACTCAATTAAAGGATTGTGTATCCTTAAATTCCAGCCACTCATACCTCTTGTGAAAGTGCCCTTCTGCCAATTGGTCAGTAGGCAGTTTGCATTTAGTAAAAGAACCCAAATTATTTGTGCTAAGGAAAACCTAAAGAAGTTATTTAAATTAAAGACTGATGAACAGAACTTGTAATATGTTTTAAGCTATAAATGTAACATAAATATATATTGTGAGCAGTTTACGTCAAAATACAGCCCACAGACCAGATGTGCGCCTTGAGATGAAAATCGCAGTGAATAAACAGAATTGGTAATTTGAGCTTTCTAACATTTCTCAGGCAGTCTTGGATGTGCCACTTCCCTGTTGGTCATCACACAACTTGGATGTAATAATAGTGCCATCATTGTAGTTCTGATTTTGGGTATGGTAACAGGTGGAGCATACTCTGTTTAATGAATAATCTAGACCTTGGAAGCAATTTCACATGCACAACATGTGGAATTTCACATACAATTACGAACATAATGGGAATCATCACACCTGTGATTGTTGGTGATCTTACTAATGGGAGGGTGAGTGTCCCTTCACTGAAATTAAACTTGCAGGATAGCTCCCTGGATCTGCCTTGAAAAAGTAAATGTAGGCCTACGTGGTCACTGATCGAACTAAATGTTGCAGAAATGTGTCACTACAAAACTCGCTATTATTTGTCATGATCATCAACTAGTTCAGTTCATCTTACAGTATTTTTACATTCCTAAGATCAGTGTAGTGACATCTTAAAATGTCTTAGCCATTGTGAATTTTAAACATCTTATATTCCAGGGAAATAACTAAATATTTCAGACTGATTTAGGCTCATTTAGAAAGATAGTTTATCTGAGGAAAACAAAAAACAAGGTATCCTGTTTGTAACTACCATGCCATAAAGATGTGTGGGGATATGGAAGCAAACCTTTACACATTCCAAATCTTGGAGCTTCGCAGTTTGGCCTCTCTGCAAAGTAAAGCTCATACATTACCTGTGGGACAGGAGACTGGAGAGTCCCCGGAGACTTTTTTGTGATAAAGAACCCAAAGTTTTATGAAAGTCAAATTCTGGTCATTAAGTCTGTAGCCAGTATCTTCATTGACTGAACTACTCTGTGTCATGAAAGAAAGAAGTTACAGTAACATTTCTATTTTATTCTGTGTCCATTTCTGTTCATTTACATGAAACAAAAAGAATTCTGTGTCTTTTGTCTCATGCACGTTAATTCTAGCTCCCTAAATAGAAAGCAGGAAATAAATCAGGTGTGTGTAGAACTGTATAATTGCTCACCAGGCTTACTGGTCTCTATTCATTGGTCCATAAGTTTCATTTCTCGCTTTGATTTGTAGCAAACACTGACACAGTGGCACACTGTCTTCTGCATTGCAATAGGCATTATGGTTGCTACATAACTCATTTTCCTGGTATTTGGTTCTGTGGAAGAGCAGCCATGGAATAAACCTCCTGCATCCACAGCATTTTCAGATGTTCCAAGACTACAAAATGATGTGGTATGAAGAGCTGTAAATAACATCTAACCTAATCTTCTCAGTGAATATTTTTTCTAGTTATTAACTACTGGCTTTATGGTTAGATAAAAAACATTGGACTGACTGAATGATAGTTCTTGATATCTTAGTTATCAGAAGAAATATGTCTATTTCTTCAACACATGTCATCCAGTACAAGCTTTGAGGGATTAAAATATGCATAAATTTTTCAAAATACCTCTGATAGGTATTTTGGTTTTCCAAATTGGAAAACTTGTGTTGGTATGTTCTGCCTACAGCCATTTTGTTGTAATGTGTACACGTATAACGTCAGGTAAGAAAGATGCAATGCACTTGTTACCACTAGTGGCTCTGATTGTAAATTTGTGTTAACTCTGTAGGATTTGAGGTTCTCATGGCAGTGAGTACAAAGATGGCTGTCTTCTGGATAGCAGCAAGGACTTCTTAAATGTTGGTAAACTTCTACCAGACTACATGGGACTACAACCCAGAATAAAGCCATCTTTGTGATAACTCTTCATCTCTTTTTTGCATTAATCCAGTGACTTTTGTACACAGCAGTATATCATCCAAAGTGGTTATCAGTTATACAGGCAATGAATCTGTGCTTTATGCATGTACATATAAACCTGTACTTATATTCCATTTAAGTATGTGAACAACTAAAATCAGAAATGGTTCCAAGCTGTAGACCAGATTTGCTTCGATTTTATCTAGGGAAATCATACAAATTGCTCGCCATATACACCCTCAACTTACTTTCAAAATTGGAAACAAAGAACCTTAGTGTCAGTTAGTGGGAATGAGATAATGAGGATTTCATGGCCATGAGGTTTGGTGTTGTATAGACTTGTTGGTAGATGACTAGGTTTTGGAGAAATATACTATCTCCATCTTCAGCCCTGAAGGTGGAGACAGTATGCTTCTCCAAGAAATTGGCATCTACTGATGAGCACACAGTGCTAAAACTCAAAACATTGTCGAGATAATAAAACAAAAATATTTTTCAGAACAGGAAACAATTCAACTTGGTGTAACACAAGGGTCAGTTATTGGTGGGTTTTTGACGTAAATACGTCTATACGGAAGGGTCATTCGGCAAAAACAGCGTTACGAAGATGTGTAAGATCCATACCAACAATGTGTAAGTATACAAACCAACCACTGACACTGACAATGTTCAGCTTTTATATGATCCTGCGTGCATACCAATGCAAGAAAAAGGATTCAAATTTCTAACACACGCCTGCAACAATATTGGCTGAGCATGCCGTAAGGCTCTTTTCTCATTTATTATGCATGCTGTATAATTGCCTGAATAAACCGTGTTGCAATCCACTCCTTTACCTAAGAAACTAATTGTTATGTCATCTGTTTATTCAGCATTGTTGTGTTTCATTACTGTCATCAATCCGCTTTCGTTATTGTGGAAAGAGCTGAGCTGTGAATCGCTTGTAGAAGAAGTGTGTCGTAGAGTAGATAATATTGTGCTGTTAAAAATGTGATACTGCCCTCCACTCTCTCCATTTTAGTTTTGATTAAATTGATCTTTGCCAGTGGACATCTTGGTCCCTTACAATTGAACGAAGTTTGAGGTAAGGGATTCCTATTTATTATTATTGTTCATCACATTTAATGTTTTTATCTGCATTTGTGAACCCGTGTAACAGAATTAAGCTTGTCTTCTTTTGACGTAAATACGTCTATACGGAAGGGTCATTTGGCAAAAACAGCGTTAGTTACGAAGATGTGTAAGATCCAGTCACAGCTTTGTCACATTTATGGAGGAAACGTTTGGCTTAATGTTGATGTCAAATCCTCAATGTAGTACTACTAGATCGAAATCTTGTCTAGATATAGTGTTTGCACGAAATGTTGGTACTCTAAAGTGCACAAATTTTATAACATATTTCAGCTACCACAGACCCATCTTAAGCGTAACTAATTCAAGTTAAATAAGCAATGTCTTAATCAAAATATTTACTCAAAGCATGTATAAAGGGAATATTTAGAATAAAGCTAATATATAAACTTCCTTTCATTGTATTTATTGCCTAAATATAATTTAAATACAAAGATTCCCACAGTAACAAACAGCAAAGTGATTTTGAATGCAGATAATATTTCTCTGATATCCACAAGATCCTCAATACCTAATTTAGAAATATGGAAGATATCTAAAAAACAAGTTTCCATTTTTTAACAAAATTATTTACAAAAATGAACAAAAGACTAATTTTTTTCAATTCAACCTCAGTGAGGCACATTCAAAACCATGGAATTATTTGAATAGAAATTTGCAATTAATAGTTATACATTATCAATGACAGTTATGGATCAATGTTAAAACAATGTGATTTTTAATAAAATCTGCATTTCTTCTAATTTTAGAATCAGTGTTTTTCTTTATCAGTCTAATATACAATGCTGACATCACCTGTGTTCAGCAGACAAGTTCATACACAAAAAGTTATTAAATTAAAAGTTTATATTTTTCAGACCCAAACATTTTGAATTAATAAGATTTCATTTAGTTCATAAACCACATACATAATTTATATATCAACCGTGTTTTAAAAGAAATATATACTGTTGATAGGAATATATCCAGTTTCCAGGCATAGGATTGGTTCATTTAAATGTGATTAGTCACTTCACATCCTGAACGACAACCATGCAAGTCTGAACATTGCTTACTTCTTGTTATTAAAACTTTTTGAATTCTACACTGCCTGATTGTGCAAACCATATACTCTCATTTTAATGTTAATTTTTTCACAGGTATGCACACTGAACTTGGAACAGCACAAAAGAAAAGTAAACATTACTTTTAATGCAATCTCCATATTTTATTTAAGAAAATATCATTCCTTAATTAATCTGTTACAGATTACTTGGTTCTGAAAGGAATATATTGATTACATACTACAATACCAAATTAGTCTTGTAACTCTGGAGTAGAAGTAACAGTAACTGTATGTAGAACATTAAGTTACATTCGATGCAAAAGGAATTACTTCACAGAGCAAATGTGTCAGAACTTCTTGAGCTCGTTGTGTAATACATTCTTCACTTCTTAATAAAGATATGTAACAATGAACATCAAGCTTCCTTTCTAACTTTTCATACAATTCATGTCAGCATGTGGGAGCTTATCCTAGGATGATGTATTTCCGTGTCTGTAGCATCACTCTGACATAACATTTACGTATTTGTTTAATAACTAGTGGTTTATTTAACGACGCTTTCAGCAGATCAGACTTATTATCAGTTTCTTTTTCATCGTCTGTGGTCAGCTTGACCGTTGTGACTTGCGAAAGTACCACGGTGGTTTAACCTTGCTTTCTGTGACCAGTCTTTACCCACCAGATTGGAAGAGGAGACGCGGACAAACATCAATGCTTTGAGTGGGACTCGAACCCACGATCGCAGCGGCCAAGCGCACGAGAACCATGCCTCGGACCGCGTGGCCACTATCAGTACATAAGATAAATACATACACCATTGTAAGACTGGGTCGCGCACGCGTGGCGAAGTACATTAGTCATCATAGATAACACAGTCGTGGTTAACGTGCTTGTTGGTCAACTGAAGCACGTTTTGTTGGCTACAGACGCAAAACTTGTCTTTTTTTTAGATAGGGGAATCCAGAAAATTAAAGACATGCAGGAAGAGAAAGTCGTCGAAGTATTATCAAATTATTTTCAAAACATGGATGAAAAACGTGAGAAAAGTGCAACAGGTAACTTGCAAATGAACCTAATTCAACGTGTTTTACAGATGTATAAATTATAATAATTTCTGTTTTATCAATTAAACCTTATTATTTTATTTTATTTTTTCAAGAAACACTTCTTACAATTGAAGGTCGGTTCGCCTACCGGACACGTCACGATCATACGATGTGACGTAATACCATGTGTTTTTAGTCAAGTATTTCTGAGTAACTGTACATTGCGCAGCTTACAACATTGCCCTCTATTATAGATTTATGGTACCAAGATTTGCATGGAATGTAAAGAATGTCGATTTAAATGTTTATCATATGTAACATTGTTCTGCATATACCGGCCGGCCGGAATGGAGTGCAAAAAAAATATGAGTTTATGTTGCAGATAATAAAATATGTTTCTAGGAAGGTGGGTTATGGTAAATGCAGAATAATTCTAATGCCGCACATTTCATTTGCTCAATTTGCGCATATGGTCCTGTACAGACGGTCAAAGGCTGTAGACTTCACCTCGTTTGTGTTAAAAAGAAAGTTTATTTTATAGTTAAAAGTGCACATTGTTTGATTGTACTTACATAGAAAGTAACGTTAGACACTTAATGGGCTTTTGTAGAACGTTCATTAAGAGTAGGAATAAATGTTCAGTCATCCGTATTTTAAAATAATTTTAAGCACACCAAGAACACTGGGATAGAGAAACACTACATTTACAGTTGAGTTGCTGATAATTTTCCTTTCTCCAGGTTTCCGTGATTGTGGTCACTAGAATAGTGAATTTTTCTTTGTATCTTATGCTGAGAATTTTGCTAGTTATTTTGGAAAGTTATAGAAATTGGTGTTACTTTCTATCAAAAACACTAGGTTCACTTATTTATTTAAAATCAGTATTGAAATGAGTATTAATTTTACTTCTTAGTGGTGTGCACTCGTCTCAGTTCAAGGGAATGAATGAGTGAAATTATATAATCATACATAACTAAAACAGCTTCTTCCTCAGTAAACTTTGAAAGATTGTTGTAGTTTGGGATTGGGCAAGGAAATATATATAATAGAATATCATTTCACATACCCTGATATTGATAGATTCAGGCTATGTTAGTTTACTGTTATTGTTTACTTTATTCACTAGTAACATACAGTCCCGACTGTAATCTTGAGACTTGCTGGGTGAGGAGGTGAAGTGAAGGAGGAAAGGTAGCATCTGCCTTTATCACTACGGACTTACTGCCATACCAAGAAGGGATAGTACTTGTGCTGTTTTAATTAACCACTCTAGTTTCTTGCTACTTGGCATAACATTCTTGGTGTGGCACAGTGTGATTTGTATTGGTGGAATTCAGTTTAGTTGCTTGTTTTGGTTTGGTCTCTTGTTCCATGCAGACAGTTTAAAGGGATTGTTAGGTATTGTTCAGATTTATTCACTATCTTATCATGTACAGACAGTTTCAAACGAGGAGAGTGGGTTACCATGTCAGTTGACAGTCGGTGTGTGAAGCTAATTTTAAGCAAGAAGTAGGCATATAGTAAACACAAGTTTTAACACAAAATAAATAGTTATAATGATAATAAGTTCCCATAGCCTCTTTTATCACATACACTATCAAGTGAGTACGTTGCGCCACATCCACCTAACTGAGCAAAGTAACTAGTGCACACGGGAAAGGCCTGTAATGTTTATTCTAATGTTTTTTGAAGTTAGATTTGGATTGATAAGGTATGCAGGTTAGATGTCATAGGTTCCTCCATTTCTATTTGTTCTAGGACTGGTGATGCTAAGGTATTGATTTTCTGGTGTTTTATTACAGATACTTCTTTGAATCATCCTGTATGGAAGCCCTTAGTGGATACTTGTACAATGTCAAGAAAGCGCCCTAGAGAAGAAGACGATAATTGTGTCCCACCTGCACCAGCTGTATCTTTACCACTGCAAATGGTAAATTTCTTTTGTTATTTGTGTAGTGAGTAGTTTAAGATTTAACTTGCCTTATAAAATCAATAAAATGAGTGCTGGGTATAAAGTAATATAATATGCAGAGCATCCAGACTAGTACAATTGTTAATCATCCTGACAGTGACTGCTTTCAAAATACTGTTAATGGTGTCATTGCTGATCTGAACAGATGGTTTAAAGCCGTTAAACTCATATTAAATTTTTACAAGGAAATTTGCTACTAAGAAAATGTATATCAATGTAAATATGATAAAACAATTAAAGTATTAACAAACAAATTGTTTTGTTTTGTTTACAAATTGATAACAACTTACATTTTAAAAAAGTGATTTTGAATATGTTATCACCAGACTAAGTTCAACATGCTTTGCCATGAGTAACCATAAGTAAAACATGACCTTGGTGTCAGGTTTGGGGCAAAATTCATGAAATATATTAATTTTGAGGAAGTATTGGCTTCTGATTATAGTGATGGCAAGAGATCAACTGCATGCTAAATTACATTATGTATCAAGGTTGAACAAATAAGATTATTTTATGTATCAAGTGGCCAAATCACTGTACTGTTCTGAATGCAACTTGTAATTGACATACTATGTAAAAGGAAGCTGTTCTGATATAAAGTTAGCTATAGTGTACCATGCAAGACATGTCAGTACAAAATAATGTGAACCTGGTCATTTATGGAATTTCTGAATTCATTTCTAATACAGATTAAATTGTTCAGTTCTTCCTTGTTTATGAAAGTGCATTCACATAATTTTTACTCAGATCCCATTATACTGCTAACTTATTTTGTTGTCTACCAATATTGAAATATTTTCCATTGTCAGATACTTCTGTTAATGAACATTTTGGAATTGAAAGGGAAGGATATATGTGCTTGTTACTCTGAGGTGACCTCCAGTGAAGTGGAGCATGCATATCAGATGATGCTCTGACCTTCTGGAGGTCAGAACATGTTACACACTTGCACTGAGTAGTTTGAATTGAGTCAATTTTATGATGATATCACAAATTGCTGCCAGTAGTGATGTCTGGTTCATTGTCCAGTGGTTCTGTATGTGGTGTATGAACACAATTCTACTACTACTGCTTACTTGTATTTGTCTGTTGACAGATAATAAGTTCAATCTTATGTGATTTAGGGACTTTATTATTATTTCCATTAATGCTAGTGTAGTATTAGTCATAGATGAAATAGAAGAACATTTTTACATTTAATCAGTTCCAGTGTATAATAAAACATTAAATTTTATATGAGGTCTTTCTGATGAGGTATTAATGGCATTAACAATTTTTTCAGAAGCCTGTAGTATCAACAGACACAGGAAGTAATTAATCATTTGTAGCATTTAGAACACCAAAATGCTTTTGGTTATGCCATGACAAACCATGAAGGAATTGGAAGAATTTAATTAATTTACTCACTGGTACATGGAAATTGGTAGTTGTTAAAATGTTTAAGAAATTTTCAATCATGGAACCTGAAGATTCTTTTCAACACCTGTTATTGAACACCCCAACCTATATAGAAGAATTTATTTATATAAATTATCATTTTAGATAAACTGTTAATGGCTGATAAAGATTTCTGAAAACATTGATTAGTTATTAAGTGTAACAAAAAAGAGTTTTAAATGAAGAATGTGAGATTCAGTTGGTCTTGAACTCTGTCAGAGATATAGGTTACAGTTAGGGTCAGAGTGCAGAGATACAATTGCACTTAACATCCACTTTGTATAGTATGACATGGTTCGTAATAATCATTGCTTGCCTTCTGATCAGCCGAGTAGTTGAGACAGAGACATTGTACATAAGGCATTTCTTCAAGCTGAGTCTGCACAAATTACTAATTTTTTTATAAAGCAGAGTGCAAGTGTTAAGACAAATCAGGAATAATGTCTTTGAAAGCACAAATATCTGCTACTAACTCAAGAAAACCATATCGTAGAATTGCTTCAGGGAAACCGACAATGGTAAGATAATTGTATTTTGTTCAAGCAGCCTTGTTACAGGCTGATTATTATCCCAAAATTTTATTTCTTAACACCTCCATATATATGTATTATCTTATGTAACAGGGTGTGAAGATGTAGATTGGATTGAACTGTTTAAGGTAAGTTTTTGTGAACCTGGCAGTGAACTTTTTGGCTCTGCTTTCTTACCCTGTTGATTAGCAATTGGTTTATCAAGGAACATTCACCATGCAGTTAGTTATCATGTGAAGTTTCACTCTTTGTAGTGCAATGATTAGTAAATGTACCACAGTCAGTAACTTGACATTTTGCTCGCACACTATAGATATGGGTTTTGTTAAGCTTTCAAATTAAACAGCATTATTTTCCTAACATATTAACCAACTGATGTTTAGGATGGTGATGCACTGTTTTTGCTTCAAGGTAGAAACCACATTTTTAAATGATATGTAGATGAGTTTTGTATAGCCAAGTTTGATCAGCCTCATCAGTTCAGTCACTTCAAGGCTGGAAAAGGGTTAAGATACTTCCTGCATTGCATGCAGCTGTCAGAATACAAAACTGTCACATTGGCAGTTTGTAATTGGCTGAAAGACATGTTAAATAGAATATCACATTATTTGAATATGTGGCCTTGAGTAATGTTTAAATGAAGCTATTAAGGGCATTAATAGGAGGTCATGTATTGGGCATTGTGGAAAGTTTTGTTGTACACTGGCAAGAAATATTAAGAGGCAGGGAAATAGTTAATATAGCATTTAAATGATTCAGTCATATTTAGGCAGGCTATCAAATGTTGGGAGGGTAGCAAAATGAAGGTTATCTTGAGCTGGACATTGGGAGACGAAAAATGCATACAGAATTTTGGTGGGATGGTGGTAAAAGTGGACCCCTGGAGAGCTGGTGAACTGGAAGGATGTTACAGTAGATGTGAATTGAATTGACTTGGGATCTTGTCTGGTGGTGGGTTGTGGTGTAGGTGGTATTCAGCCTTTGATAATTAGTTGTCTGGTGTTTATTGTTGGGTGGTTAGTCAGAACTAAATCATCTACTTGACTGAATCTGAAAGCACAATGTTGTCAAATGGGGTAGCTTAAAATAGAAGCTTTTCAGAATTATATTCCAGGAAAATTGTTCACCTATGTGGTCAGTAGATTTCATACACATATATTTTATTTAGTCTAAGTAAGTAGTGTGGTGGTAACTGGATTCAGTGAGAATGTTGTATAATCTTTCTTGAAGGCTGTAAATAACTGATATGCTATTTCCTTGTACTCTTATTTTTCTCCAGAATGTACATCTACACATGGAGTTAACCTTGACAGAAGATTGCTGGATTACATTTTGTATGTGCTTGATAACAGTAATGTTTCTTAATAATTACTACAGTCCTTATTTATTACAATTAGAATTAATATGTTTGTGGATCTGCATTGTAGTAAATGATGAGTATATTATCATAGAGAATTTATTTTTCCAGTCTATCTGCAAGGTAGCACCTTTTAGTGATGATCCAGATGCCAACCTGGAACGGGAACGTTGTGATTACACAAATTGCATCACATATAAAGTGGCAAAATCAGGAAGAGGTACTGTATATTACCAATCATTCAGCTATTGATGTAGAAATGCCATTAGGATGTTTTGACCTGAAATATAATTTGCTGTTGCAGTGCAAAGACCGATTCGGGTGTATGCAGATGGGATTTATGATCTTTTTCACCAAGGACATGCCCGACAACTGATGCAAGCCAAAAATCTGTTTCCTAATGTTTACCTAATTGTTGGAGGTAATAATTCTCCCTTTACTCTGATATCTTATTAAGAATACGTATATGATTTTAAGTCAGTGATTAGACTATGAATAGAACTCATTATTTTTACCACTTTCTTGCATTGTACTTTCACCAGTGCCCCTGAAGTCACATTGTAGTTAATTAGGATGATGAAATTTGTGTTTTCCTAATTATTGTTTTTGGAACTAGACAAACACTGATGTGGTCAACATCATTGCTTTATAGTTCCAAGTTAATTGTTAAATAATTAAATTACATTTTATCATGGCCCTTCCTGACTTTATGGCTTGTCATTGGAAGATTTATTTTATGCCAGTTCTTTGCCCCAAGATGACATCAATAATTCCATGCTACAAAGGCTACATACAGTCTTGTTCCATATCATCAGTGTTTGCCCTGGAGTAGCTACCAGGTATGCCAAAACAACCAGGCATCTACATGCCACTAAAATCATGATTATTGTTTTGTAATGTACCTTCCTCTCCCTGGCATGATGTTAGACAAGGCATGTTTTAGTATTTGCCTGCCAAAAGGGAAATCTTGTTTCCCTATATCTATCTGTAGTTGGTCAATTGGAACTGTAGTGTCCCATTATGTCATAGGATTGCTAAAAGCTTTATATAGTCACAAGAACAAACTCTTGTCTGTCTAAAATGCTTCATAGGGTTGCTAGACTGTCAGAGCTTGATTAGCAATTGGATTGTTCACTTTAAAGTTGAGTTCACATTCTAACATCCTTCTGAATATTGCAGAAATTGTGAGTTATTTGTAGTTTTATTCAAGCAGTGATTGTTTCTTTGTTGTTATACAAAACATCGTTATCAGACAGAAATATATCAAAACACTTGTTCATTATATTGTATATCTTCCCTGTAGAGAGTGGCCTGATGTTGCGGCACTTTGTTCTCTTAGGTCGCTGGCCAAGGCAAATTTGAAATTTTCGTGGAATAATTTTTAAACCTCAAGAAATGAGGTTGAAACTGTTCAGAATTGAGAAGTCTGTGAGATAAGAAAGTAACTTTTTCATCCATTTCCATGCGAGTCTACTAATGGAGTACCTGACTTATGTGGTCACTCTTGTCCACATATACCATGTATCTGTTGTTTAGTATTATGGCTGGCTTAAAAACATTTCCTTACCAAACAGACAGTATCTTAAGCTTAGGGCATTGCATATTTGTCAGGATGTTCGCATTGTGTTTGTCTTTCCATACTATGGCTGTCTAATCACCACTTACCCCTCATATTTGTCTCACGCCACTCTTTGTACTTTCTCTGCAAAATCCTAAGCCTCCTTTTTTGATGTGACAGTTTGTCAGCAGTTTATGATATTATTGAGTAAACTGTCAAATAAGTTGCAGTAAGAGGAGAAATTATTTGTGTATAATATGTGCCCAAAGTTTTCAATCCCTTTAAGTCCTAACATAGTTCCATAAGTTGCAGTCATTCTGGCAGTCACTGGTTTCCTATCTTTGTATAAATACAGTCTAATGTATCTATATCCCATGGTATTCCATAGAGATTGTAGATATTTATCCCAAATAATGTGTGTTTTTTTATATACACTATCTGAAAAAGACTGTACATTTGGAAAGGATGCTGACTTTATCAAATGTTAAATGTTCAGTTAGGCTGAAATATTTAGCATATGTATCATGAACTTATCAAAAATATTAAGTAGGATTAGAGGTTTTCATGGCAGTGCATCTGAATATCGTTGTCTTCTGGGTTGTAGTGCTATGTAGTCTGGTAGAAGTTTCAGAGGTCCTTGCTGCCTTCATCACCAGGGCAGTGAGTAAACTGTGCCATTGGAATTGGTTTGATATTTGGTAAACTGCCAGTCAAGGTAGAACCTTGGCCTGACCTGTGGGGAGTGGAGTGGAAGTGGAGCAAGAAAATGTTCATTGGAATAGGTTCTTTGTTTATATTGGGTATCTTGTTCTGTCCCAATCTACTGGCATCTCCTGTCCACCTGTGTTAAAACTGCAGAAGGGTAAGCTTGTCTCTATCCTGTCTTCCCCTTTGTTGTCTCTGTCATATTGAGGAGGAGGAGGAGGGATGTCTTTGTCTTCAGACATGGGTGTCAGATTTATATTCTAAAATAAATTCTTGTGCCATGTCTTTATCTTCAGTCTCCAATTTGAAGCTGTTGTTTTTGTTACACTCTGAAGTAGTAGAAAGCTTAATCTTTATTACATTTTTCAGTTTGCAGTGATGCTCTGACACACAGTAAAAAGGGGCGAACAGTTATGACTGACACAGAGCGATATGAGGCTGTGCGGCATTGTCGATATGTTGATGAGGTTATTCGAGATGCACCATGGGAATTGGAAGAAGACTTTATAACTCGACACAAGGTAAAGCCTTGTTCCTTGGAACTTGTATCTTGTTATGTGGCTTACGTGTATTGCATTACTTAACACCTGGGGCCTACCAGGATTCTCTTGTAATGTGAATGGCCTGTTTTATTTTCATGTTTTTATTTATAATATTGTATTCTACACTGTAATATTCTTTTATCTACTTAAACATCATTCATTGTAAAATGCTTATGTTTGTAATTCTGTTGTGGACTAGTTATTTCATGCACTGGGTTAGCTTTTGATGTTTTGTTGCATAACTGTGATTGATCATAAAGTATGGATGTGTGCTTTAAGTTATGTTTGGGGATAATAAACTGTCAGAGATGGGTGAAAGAAATCATACTGAACACAGTAAATGTATAAAGATGGCTGTCTTGTCGGTTGTAGTACCATGTAGTCTGGTAGAAATTTACCATTGTTTTAGAGGTTCTTGCTGCCTGCATCATCAGGGCAGCGAGTAAGCCATGCACATGAATTCAGTTTAAGATATGGGAACTAGTCGATCAAGGCAGAACCTTGGCCGGACCAATGGGGAGTGGGGTCAGGAACATGCAAAGGGCTGCTTTCTCTGACCTCTCTCTCTCTCTTGCATGTTCTTCCCCCTCCTATTGGCTCCCAGGCCCTCACTCGATCCTGACCCCACTCCACACTGGTCTGGCTAAGGTTCTGCCTTGACAGAATGGTTCCTATATCTCAAACAGATTTCAAGTATGGAGCTTACTTATGGCTCTGATGATGGAGGCAGCTTGGATCTCTTAAGCGTTGGTAAACTAAAGATGTTTAGAGACCAGAGTAAAGAAATAAGAGAGTCTCTGTAAACATTGGAAGTTGAGACAAGGCTGAGATGACAGTGTTACATCTAGAAGTACACTGCTGGGTTTTTTACGGACAAGAACTTGAACTGAAACATAGTGAGAAAGCCCTTTCTAACAGTCCATTGAATAAAACCATAGCAACAGCATTGGGCTTGATTAACAAGAGATATAGTCTGTATGTTTTATCCCCATCAGGCTAGAATTCTTACCATAAATATGTGGTGGAAAACAACAAGAATGATATAAAAACCAATTTAGTAATAATTAAAATACTATGAGTTTGAAACTGTAATTTGGTAATAAGTAACAATGTATCTCAACATCAGGTGTGTAATACTAACATATAAGAAGTATGAATTTAACAGGATTATCAGAAACTTTGTACAAGCAGAATGAAATAAAAAGGAATTCATATTCACATCCTGATTCTGAAAGTGTAGTGTGTTTGAATAATACAAATAATGACAGTATTGTATTCTGTAAAATGAAGTGATGGTTTTGCCTACAACCATCTCTTAAGTGGTGTTTTATTATCATCATTCCATACAGTATGATAAAACAGTTTGGGATGGCTATGGAGACTTTCATTTTATAAAATTGTTAGGTGGCCTGTTCTGTTGTTTCAGATTGACTTTGTGGCCCATGATGAGATTCCTTACATGACAGATGATGGGACTGACTTGTATGCTTGGTTAAAAGCAAAAGGCATGTTTGTAGCTACAGAGCGCACAGAAGGTGTATCAACGTCAGATATTGTGGCACGAATTGTACGAGATTATGACATCTATGTGCGTCGCAATCTTGCTAGGGGCTACAGTGCAAAGGATTTGAATGTCTCCTTCCTTAATGTAAGTTTCCAACTTGCAGGCCATATTATTTCAAAATGCTAATGGAATGGTGGTATAGAGAACAGGCTGTCAGTATTTCTTCAAGGATCAGTTACATAAATTGTGTCTACACTAGGTGCATTATGTTAATGTTTTTAATTTATAGTGTTCACTGGTATTTTTGGATATTATTTTATAAAATTCTATGATATGAACATTTCTGTGATTATAAATGACTATTTTCATTAGTCTTTTCAACTTTGATTACCATTTCTAGTTGTTTATGAGCAAAGACAAATTAAAGACTGCATAACTCTATGATTCTAGCAGTCAGCTGTCTGTTTTGCCACTATGAGGTGAATAAGTATGATACTGTTGATTAATTTCTTCTTCATTTTAATATATCCATATTAATTTATTTTTATTGTAACAATTTGTATTATCTAGATCAGTTGTCTACCATATATCAGTAATTTTACATTGTTTCTTTTTAGCTCATGGATTTGTTAAACACACTATTACAATTGATAAAAAATTATTCTTTACTGTATTTGAAGCAAATGAAAGAATAATACTTGGATTAATTATTCTCTTCAGTTACTCTTCACATCTTTCAGTCTGTTGGTCTCTAATTTACTCTTGTACAGTAGGGCCCCGCTTTACGGCGCTCCGCTTTACGGCGATTCGCTAATACGGCGCTCAACAGCTGAGTCAGAGAAGTGCGTCCGGCGCCATTTTCTCGTCGCTGATTCAATCTGTTTACAGCTTTTGTACGCTCCGCGTCTCCGTATTTCTGGCAATTTTTCAAAGTTATTACAAACTGTATATTTATGTAATATTTTTGTGTTTCTACAGTGTAATTACAATGGCGTCAAAGGGTAGTAGCGATAACAGATGATGAAGATGCGCCATCTCCTTCATCCTTCCTACTATAAGCATATCAATTTTCAAATTTATATTCACCAATCACTATAAGCTGAGGACAATGTGTGTATTACTGATATTCATTTTAATTTCATATCGTTTTCTTAGGCCTAGCGCTATTGTGCACTTACTATATGATAGTGTAACATCTTATTAGGCTTTGATATGCATTTGCAAGTGAAATAAGGCAAAGATCCGCTTTTCGGCGATTTTCGCTTTAGGGCGGGGGTCTGGTCCCTAACCCGCCGTATAAGCGGTGCCCTACTGTATTCTCTTGTCTGCTTCTTTGTTCACATACATAGCATTGTGGATCTGCATCCACAAGTTCGCAGACAAGACTTTGTCACTGTATACTTGCTTGACTCTCGCTTGTTCCATAGCGAAAATATTTGTCCAGCTACTCTTGCTGGTTGCGGAAGCTCATATTCATATAAGCTTGTGTATCAGTCTGCAAGCCTTCAGAAATTTATTTATAGCAATGGAGTGTCTGTCAGTGGCGAGGGTGCTAGAAGGCGTTGCTGGAAGTTTTTTGTCCTAATTCATGCACCGTCAGGCATTGTAACACAGCATACAGCTAGAGGAAGGGATGCACAGCACCTTGCTGATGTGTGCGTTGTGATGTGTCTTGAAGCATCCATGTCCAGAGTTAAGAAGTCTGTTAATATATGCAGCCTGGGAAGTCACATTCTGAACTAATAGCAGACCAAAAAACATTGTGCTTATTCTGATTTGTTAGAAACTTTACTGGTATTACTTTAAATCACTTGAAGTTATAAAATAGTAATAATAAAACAGTTAAATGATTACTGATGCTACTGACAGTGAAAGCAGTAAAGATATATGGGAAATATCTGTGTACTAAAGACGAATGTTCACTCATGGATAGGGGGGTTATGCATCATTACATCATCACTTGCCTACCAGGCTGTCTGCATCACAGGGACTTCCTTAAGTCTTGAAGATTTCTGTCTTCTGGGTTGTTGAATTCATCGCCCTGATGATGGAGGCAGTATGACCTCTGAAACGTTGGTTAACAGCGACCAGACTACACAGCGCAACAACCCAGAAGACAGAAAGCTTCATACTAAGAATCGCCCTGATGACAGAGGCAGTATGACCTCTGAAACGTTGGTTAACAGCGACCAGACTACACAGCGCAACAACCCAGAAGACAGAAAGCTTCATACTAAGAATCGCCCTGATGACAGAGGCAGTATGACCTCTGAAACGTTGGTTAACAGCGACCAGACTACACAGCGCAACAACCCAGAAGACAGAAAGCTTCATACTAAGAATCGCCCTGATGACAGAGGCAGTATGACCTCTGAAACGTTGGTTAACAGCGACCAGACTACACAGCGCAACAACCCAGAAGACAGAAAGCTTCATACTAAGAATCGCCCTGATGACAGAGGCAGTATGACCTCTGAAACGTTGGTTAACAGCGACCAGACTACACAGCGCAACAACCCAGAAGACGGAAATCTTCATACTCACTGCTGTGAGAACCTCAAGTCTTACATTCCTTAAGTCTTGCATACAGTTGCTATCCCTTTATTTCTGTCATATTGAATCTTGGAATAGAAAACACTTTGGGTCATAATGTATATTGAGAACCATTTTTACAAAATAACACTTACATGATTCTGTTTTAAATTTATTCATCTCATTTTTATGTTTTATATATATCTGCATCATCTATTTGTATATTAGGAGAAGAAGTTTCGCCTCCAGAACAAAATGGATGAACTGAAGGATAAAGGAAAACGTGTGATGGAGAATATTGGGGAAAAGCGAGTGGACATGATTCAGAAGTGGGAAGAGAAGTCTCGTGACTTTATTGATACCTTCTTGTTGTTATTTGGAAGGGAAGGTCGCTTGGTGAGTCATTACATTTCAACTTTGTGCATCACAAATTCTCAGTGTTCTGAAAAGCAAAATTTCTGCAATATAGGCTGTTGTCAGCATAGAGAAGGGAGAAGAGTGTTGTTGGTTATTTTCAGATTACTGGCTATCATAGTGTTACTGCTTTGTTAAGAGACAGAACACGCAGATGCAGTGTGTTCTGAATCTTGATTCCAATTCTTATGACAAGTTATTTTATGCATTGTTTATTATGCATTAACAAAGTACCCTGGATGTAAGAGAAATAAAATGATTGATTTATATGTCACGTGGTTTTGTTAGGGAAGCGAAATCAGGGAAATTGTGATGGGCTAAGACTTGCTTAGATGGGGAGGTAAGAATATTTACTGAATTTTGATGATGAAAATACCAGTTAGATCCAGAATAAAGGTGGAAGGATAGGAGTAAAATTACTGTAATAGAAATAGAAATCACAAATTATATGAATGTCATATCTGTGATCGCAGCTACTCATAAAACATTGCCAGCTAAAGGTGTGGTAGTATATATTAAAGACAGAAAGCACAAAAGGAGTCTGCCAATGAACTACTGAATACTGGTTTCATCTGGTAAAAAGAAGCTCAAATTATTGCTAGGAGTAAAAGATTTCAGAATTATAATTTGAAGCCACAAAATTCTGACTGCTACAAGTTAACTTGTGATAGTATATTTTGACCAACATTTTGTACCTAAATTATTCAGGATAACAAGGAAGTGGTTAAAAGTTGTGTGCATCTTATATTCTCTTAATACAGTGTGAGTTGTACATTTAGAGAAAGTTCTTGTTACGAAGCCTTGTGTAATTGGGGTATTGATTGTATTTTTATACTTTCTTTAAAATTTCTTTTATTCACAACTTGTAATTTTACATTCATCAAATTAGCATTAACTGTGTTCATATAAAGGCGAAAGTAACTTAAAGTGCTCATAAATTTAGAAACTCCTTTTATTAATACATCGCTGCAATACTAACAGCAATGATGTAAGGCTGCTTTAGTGACTTTGAGTACATGTTATTTTTGACATGTGTGATGTAGTCAGCTGTTAATATTTTATTTTTATGTGATGTAGAGAATAGACATAACATTTGCATGTCTTTGTGTCTGACTTTTATATTGCAGTTGGTTATATGAAAATATATTTTTTAAATCACCAACAAGAAGTTAAAGTTTCAGATGCAAGTAGGTGTTTGTAGTCCTTGTATAATTTTGTGTTAATAATTTGTTAATATTAATGTAGAGAATGAATATATTGGTCTTGTCGTACATAGTCCCACATATGGAATGAAGGGAAGGGGCGACTGATGCAGGCATTGTCTCCACCAGCAAGTCCTCAGCGAGATGGAAGCCCCACATCCTCCAACAGCAGTGACCATGATGAGTCAGTCAGGTGAGTGATGTCATGATGAGAGCCTTACTTCTGAATAAATGTTGTTATTATGTGAAATTCTATCATCTACAGAAATTGCTTTTTGTGTCTCATACAGTGTGATGTGTGTTTCCTAATAACTGTTTATAAAATCTGTTATTGGTATTTTATCAAATTTATTGAATGCAGAAAATGGTATTAAAAAGAGCAGTGATAGAAAATGGAAGGTTGCTCATATTATTAATTGCTATCCCTTATGTAAGTTTATCATACAAAAATCTATCAAACATTCTTCTGGCAAGATTAACTCCATGTGTGAATGAAATTATTGGAGATCATCAGTGTGGGTTCAGACATAACAGATCAACAATTGATCAGATCTTCTGCATTCATCAGATATTAGAGAAAAAATGGGAGTAAAGTGGGACCATACATAAATTGTTTATATAGATTTCAAAAAAGCCTGTGACTCTGTTAAGAGAGAGTGTTATACATTATTCTCATTGAATTTGGAATACCAAAGAAACTAGTGAGTCTAATAAAATTATGTTTAAATGAAACCTGCAGCAAAATTCGTATAGGTAAATATTTATCTGAGTTATTTTCCATCAAGAACGGTCTGAAACAAGGAGATGCTTTGTCTCCATTGCTCTTTAACTTTGTGCCAGAATACACCATCAGGAAAGTCCAAGATAGGCAGGTGGGTTTGCAATTGAATGGGATGCATCAGCTATTGGCATCTTCTGATGATGTTAACTTATTGGGTGATTATTAAAATATTTATTAAAAACTTTTGCCGTCAATCACAAATATAATATTGTTAAAAGATTAAAACATCATTTAACGTTTCCTATCGAGTACTCGATTACATTGGAAACTTACACGACTAGTTTCGGCTATAATTTAGCCATCAACGGGTGTTATGTAGTTTAAACTTATTACATGAATTACTGATTGTTATTGTTTTTTATAATTTATATTCTTCATTTTTCTGTTGATGTTCTGATCCTTTGTATTTTTCTTCGTTGGTTGTATTATCACAGGTCACTATTAGGTTTTTATTTCTTATTTGTAGTGACGTCAATATTTTGTGTATGACTGTGAAGTAAAGTTTCAATTTTATCAATGACAATTGAAAATAGAAATATAGAAAATAAAATAAATAAATAGTAAAAATAAATCATGTGAACTTACCCAAGAAGTAATATCGTATTCGTATGTAAGAGAACGGAGATGTACAGGACTGAATTGGATCGTGGCTGGTTACCGACTGCGGTGCTAGTGGGTGAAAGGTGGTTTGTCAGGGTTGAGGTCAAGGTACTGAAGTGCTTTAAATATGGGGTTGTTAAGTTCAATACTATTATCATTAAGGCATAATTTTTGTTTATAATTTTGATATATGTAATATTTTTCTATTGTGTCCCTGTGTCTTTTGTTTTTTATTATTTTCAATATGTCCATTGTTTCATTGATTGTGTTATAAGCATGTCCTGTATTGAGAATATGTTTAGAGTATGCGGAACTATCTTTATTGTGTTTTATGGCTGCTATGTGTTCTTTGTATCTTTGTGTGAAGGTGCGACCTGTTTGACCTATGTATATTAGGGGGCAATCTTTACATTTCAATTTATATATACCTGGTAATTGATATTGGTTGTTTATGTTTGTAATTGGTTTTTGTTTGAGGATGTTTTTTATTGTGTTTTTAGTTTTGTAGGCTGTTTTTATTTTATTTTCTTTAAATAATTTAGTTATGAATTTGGTTTCTTTACCTATGTATGTA